GAAAAAATCAGCAGCATTATTTTGCTGGAACGTTTGCTGATCTTTCATCAAGTCTACTCACCAAATTTAAATCGCTGAACATCAGCAATTGAATCTACTTTTGTTTATCTTTTGCTTGCCTGTTGTGGCATTAGTTTTCAAAATTTCTGTGTGGCAGAAAGCTCCATGGATCATTCTTTTGTCATTCATGGTTTGGTATTCAGGGTGCGTAAAAACTCCTGTTGAAAAATTAGTACCACTCATACAGTGAACATCGGCTTTATCGAATATTAGTTTCTGCTCAACAGGCTTCATCATGGCTGCGAGAGCTGATACAGGACTCATGACTCGTTCCAATATTGTTGCGTTACATTTTAAAGGGTTTTCAACACGCCACATCTCGCGTACCATGAACGTCAGTCAGCCGACTGTAGTGCGGGAAATTCAACGTCACATGCAAACAGAAAACCACTCCAGCAGAGGTCGTTCGGGAAGGCCTGTTGGTTCCGTTATCCGACAACATGTACGTAAAATGCAAAAACGTCCTATTTTGAAGAACCGTAAATCAATACAAAAGTGGAGAAGGATTCCTACGGAGAAACGTTCAGGTGTCGTAACGATGCACAAGGCTGGATTATCGACTAGAAAGATAACGGCACAGCTAAACCTTACTCAATGCAGCGTTTTCCGAATTATTAAACTATTTAAGGAAACGGAACCAGTTTTCAATCGCCCGTGCAACAGGTAAAAACATTTCCAAATCTGCATATTGTTACTTTCCATAGTTTGAACCGGCAAAGACGTACTGCAAAAATGAGAACAATCCAGAAGCTTGGGAATGCAGCAACATGGAAGAGGGTAGACAATCATAAGCGAGCGCAGATATTGCAGATGGCTGCAATGGGTCAATCCATGCGCCGAATCGCTGCTGTGACGATGATTAATGCATCAACAGCATCTAGAATCATTCGCAACGATGTTGAAAAAATATCAACAGTTCAACCTCGGAAACAAGGAACTGGATCAAATCCATTAAAACGCACCTCTTCGATGACTCGAAGTTCGTTCGGCTCAAGGCGAAAGGAGTCAAGCATTGAACAGCGTGCAGCGTGCATGGCCCTATATAATGAAGCACTTTCGACACGGCTTGTTGCTAAGAGACTTGCGTGAGTCAAAGCACGGTAGTAAGATGTGTGAAACGTTTCAAAGACACACGTTCACATGAGAACCGAAAGCGATGTGGAAGGTCACGCATTACAACCAGAAGAGAGGACAAATATGTCACCATTCTCAGTAAACGAGAAAGAACACGGACAGCCCCTGATATCCGTGAAGAGTTGAATAGTATGAGAAGTACACCACTATCCGTTCCGACAGTGCGACGACGACTCCTTGAAGTAGGGTTAAAAGGCCGTATTGCTGCTAAAAAACCTCTGCTTCGAGAAGTCAATATTATGAAAAGACTGCAATGGGCCAAAGATCACGAGAGCTGGGATACAAACCAGTGGGCGAGAGTACTATTTACAGACGAGTCCAAATTCGACCTATTCGGCAATAAACGGCGAGTGTTTGTTCGCCGTCTTGTCGGTGAAAGAATGAACCCTAGTTGCATAGTACCTACCGTAAACACGGAGGAGGATCGGTGTTAGTTTGGGGTTCATTTGCAAGAAGCGGTGTTGGGGATTTAATTCGAATCAGCGGAATTCTCAATAAAGAAGGATACCTCAACATACTGCAGCAAAATGCAATTCCAAGCGGAAAACGGCTTGTTAGACGGGGTTTTATCCTTCAACAAGATTATGACCCCAAACACTCGTCAAAGCTCTGTCGGGGATTTGTAAACGAAGAGGAACAAAAAGGAGAATTGATCAACATGGTTTGGCCAGCGCAATCGCCTGATCTAAATCCCATCTAGTTGCTCTGGGATGAGCTGGATCGGGCCACTCGAAAAATTAGACCACAAAATCATGAACATCTTTGGGAATGCCTTCAGCGGTGTTGGTAACAAATAGATGATGATGCTATAAGAAAATTGATCGAGCAGATGCCCAGGATGTGCAAGGCGGGGATAAATGTGAATGGGGCATATTTCGAGGAATCTAAAATCTGTTTGTTTCAAATAAAAATGGTTTAAACGATCCTAGAGTAAATTTATGCTGTACAAAAAACTTGTATTCTGATTGAATCCGAAATAATTTTTAACTTTTTTAGAATTATTTATCATTTCGGTATTTCCTAATTTCCTGAAGTGAAGTGGTTTCAAGACTTCTAAAAGTGATTTCAAAGTATCCTGAAGAGTTTTTTTTTATTTCGCTTATTCACTTCCAAATCAGTACTTCCCAAAAAAATCTCCATTTTACATATTGGTTTTAAAATCAATATATTTCACCGTGATTCTTTACTTCTCCCGAGTCATTCAGTGTTTTTCAAATATTTCATCATCAAATTTCATACATTCCTGAAGTGATTATGTACACAACAAATTGAATTTAAAATTTCCTCAACTGATCCAGTGCATAAAAAAGAAATTGGGAAATTGGGCTCTTATACACATCGATTTAAGTGATTTCAAACTTTTCAGGTCTGATTCACATCCAATTCAAGTGATTTCAAACTTTTCAGGTCTGATTCACAACAAATTCAAGTGATTCCAAACTTTTCAGGTCTGATTCACATCAAATTCAAGTGATTCAAACTTTTCAGGTCTGATTCACATCAAATTCAAGTGATTTCAAACTTTTCAGGTCTGATTCACATCCAATACAAGTGATTCCAAACTTTTCAGCTCTGATTCACATCGAATTCAAGTGATTTCAAACTTTTCAGGTCTGATTCACATCCAATTCAAGTGATTTCAAACTTTTCAGCTCTGATTCACATCGAATTCAAGTGATTTCAAACTTTTCAGCTCTGATTCACATCAAATTCAAGTGATTCAAACTTTTCAGGTCTGATTCACATCAAATTCATGTTATTCTAAACTTTTCAGGGCTGATTCACATCCAATTCAAGTGATTTCAAACTTTTCAGCTCTCATTCACATCCAATTCAAGTGATTTCAAACTTTTCAGGTCTGCCTCACATCCAATTCAAGTGATTCCAAACTTTTCAGGTCTCTACCGTGAGCCATCATTTTCTGCAAAACTTTCCTAGTCTAATTAAGAGCTTTCTGAATGTTTACCACAATAATTTAACAGTGATACAGTGAATTTGTTCAAATTTTAGTGAAAATATGGGGGCGACTCCGGCGTAGTGGTAAGCATCCATACCTCTCACGTCAAAGTCACGAGTCCAAATCTCACTCCCGGACATGTCACGAATGACCCAAGAGCGTTAAAGTGACTATAAGAAAAAAAAAAAAAAAAAAAAAAAAAAAAAAAAATAAAAATAAACTTTTCATGGTTGATGCTAAACTTTTTCAGGTGATGCAATATTCAAATGAGTGTTGCAATACTTTTCCACGCGAGTCATCACTTATGACGGGTAGTGTATCTACTAAACAAGGACTCCGCTGTTTGGTAATATATGAACGACGGAACTGTTCGGTAAAAGTTTACAAATCAGTGAAAAATTTAAAAATTTGGAAATTTATTCCGAAAATGTATAGACCTAGTCAACCCCATTTAATAATACAAATCAAATTTGTCGATTTTATTGATTTCCTTCGAGTAACGGTCTATTTTTTCAGCTGTTAAAAAACCCGGCAAAATTTACCGACTTTGGTGATCCGAATTCAGTGTGTAGCTAGTAGCAATCGTATCTATTTGGACCCAAATCCTAACATTAACTCTAAACACACTTTCTTTCGCTAATCCATGTTGATTGAGTGGGGAAATTGAGACAAGTAATATTGACTTTAATACATTTTAACCCCATTGCCATAAAAGTTGTCAATATTCGTATGTTGATGATATTGGTGGCGAAATTAACGGTTTTGTGTCAATACATTCTGTGTATTGACAAAGTGAAATTAAAATCAGCTTGTCGTCAATACTTGTCATCAATCATTGTCTTCAATATCACCTTTTCAATAATATTGTCAGTATGTCAATTTATTGTCAATATATTGATATGTGTAAAGCAAACCCCACAAGCATCAATATATTGACGCGAAGGGGAATTATTGACAATAATATTGATGATGTGAATTCAGAAATATTGTCAATCTCGATATATTGACGTCAATACAGAATGTATTGACAATACGATTATTGTCAATAAAAGTAATCATGTAGGGTCCACTTAATAGGCGCATTGCAGAGCGAGTTTGTCATGGTAGCCCTGGTAGTCGTAGCAACTGTTTTGTCTGTATCGTTGGTTGCTTTATGTGTTTGGATTCGCTACCCTCTAGTATAGCCTACGTGGTGGCCATTTGTGGACTCTGCAAGGAATCACCTTAAAACAGCCATTATTGACATTTTTAAGAGCATTCAAACAAATTCAGGTAGCTCTGAAGACACATAAAACCCATTTTAGGATGATTTATCGTCCATTTCAGTGCATTTTCGATTATGTTTCCATCTGGAACGATAACCATCACAAAGCTCGTCACAAAGTAATAGCAACAGGCATTCCTTTGGGAGATTTCAAAAATTCTAGTCATCCATTCCATTCACATTTCTGTCACCGTGGTAACGACGACGACGACGACGACGGAAAATCTCCAACTCAAGCCTCCACGGGAGAGTTTTTCCATTTGCTGAAAAAGTGATTTCTTTTCCTCAACTCAGTTCATGATGCTGTTCATACAACGCTTTTGCTGGTCGGTTTTGCACTTGACAATCGAGTGCCTGAACGAACGAACGAACGAACCACTTTTCCATTGTGTGTCGACTTCGAAAGCAGATCCGGTTGAACTTAGCCGGCTTTTCATAATGCATCCGAAAATGGCAGCTCATGAATGTTGTGCAAGAGCGAAGGGATCTGGAGATTTGACATGGACTCGACAAAGGAATGGCAATCGATTGCCGTCAAGCAGCCGTGTGTGTGTGCTTCCGATTGTTAATGTTCCCGGGACCTACCTTCCAAGCTTTGGTCGTATCCTTTGGTGAAGAACAGCATCGCTTTGGCAGCACGTTCTGGCGTTTTGAGCAGTCCCTGGTGAAGAATGGAGACAGTTTGAATCATCGGTAGGATATTTATTTAAATATATGCATTTGGTGGTGCGTGAGAACACTGACCTGCCGGTCGGGATCTTCCCCGAGGCTGCTCAGCAGCATTCGGTACGATTTGGACATGAACGGCAGCAGATCCTCCCGGGTCAATGGTTTGTGGTCCAGTTCCAGATCGTGGTGGAATGTGCATTTTTCGTGTCCTGCAACGAATGAAAGAATCATATTACTATGTTGTGGGTGGGTGAGTTTGAATCATGCAAACGAAATCGTTGTGTGACCACTGACTGCGAGAAGCCAAACTCAAATCAAAACCGGATGGTCATGCATAAGCTAGATGGGCGATGACGAGCTAATTTAACTCGATATGTGGGCTGTTTCTGAATCGGTAATCATTCGCTGCGAGGTGGGGTGGGATGTTTGGTCGAGAGGGCGATTTAGTCGAATATCAAAGGCAACTTCAAACATCATGGCGCGTACTTTCAATTGAATCTTGTTAACGTTTTTAATAATTGCGTTTTGGGTTTGATTCATACATTCGACCAAAATCAAAGTCCAACCCCGTCGAGCTAATTGGATCATGTGGCTGGATGGAGGGCGGTTATGGAAACCAATCCAGCGTGCTACTGTGTCATAAAATAATATAGCAGCACTGTTTACGTGTAATGGAAACTGATTTAGCAAACACTTTTATGCACATAGTTCAGGGGGATTAAATATTCAGTTTAGTTGGTGGTCAGTCGGGGGCCCTCAAGCAAAAGGGCAACTTTGAGGAATGGAGGGTCAAATTGCCAGGTTGACAGGTTTATATGTTTGCTCGGAGTTGTGCGGATTTGTGGTTGTTCGAAAAGTGGTGGAAACCTGCCATTCCAGCGATTACAGACTGTTGTTGTTGGCGTCCAGTCTATATTTGTTGAATGTTTTGTTTTGACGTGAGGGATGAAATGGGGGGGGGGGAGTATAGGGAGGATTAATGCGTTAAATCTGTTACAAAACCGACACGAGCAAACCGCTCGGACCGAACTGCTGAATATGGAGTGGAATGAAAGCGATTTCCTGACTCCAGCCGCAGTTCAGCCCGGGGTTGGTCGAGGGCTCTTCTGGTCGTAATTATACGGTGATTATCGGCGGCTTATTGTTTCTACTATGGAGTGTGCCTCCGGTCGACCGTCGCCGGTTGACAGGTGTGCGGTTCGTGGAATGTGTCCCGGCTCTCGGAACTGATTTGAAATTTAATTATCTCATTTCAATATCGATTGCTGGAGGGGAAACAAATAAGCACTCGACTAACAATTAAATGACGGTTGGATTTGCGCGTCCTTGGATGTAGATTTGCTAATGCAAAGCCTTTATGGATTAAATGATCGTATTCAAAATGTCATAATATTAATGAAGGTTCAGAGTTTTATGATCGGCGTAAGTAATGTAAGCAAATCATGTAAGCTGGAAAAGCTTATTTCTTATTACAAAGGCAGTTAAAACCAAATCACAACCATATAGGCCTAAGCAAAAACAGTAAATATTCATGGAGGTTTAGAGGTCACGCAAAACTTTTAAAGTTTAAATGGAAATTTTTACGAATTGCTATGGGATTTTTTTTATATTTTTTTATTCTTGTTTTAGACATTATTATAGATTCTAGATTTAAAGTTATATGTGTGGCTCCGTTGACAACACAAGCTGAACATTGTATTAGATTGACATTGACTGAGAGATTCTCTCCGTCCGAGATGGAAATATGACAGGTGGGCAGGAACTCACGGTCTCTCAGTGTTGGTGAGTTATTTGTCTTTGTCTAATGTTCACGAAAAGTTCACTATTTTGCCATACAGAAATTCAAAAAAAAAAATGTATGGGCGGATTTGGACAGTTTTTGACCTGCTTCATACGAAACCTGCTTCAAACCTGCTTCATGCCAAACTGATTTCCTACGCAATCAATCAACCTTTGATGTGAATAACAAAATGGGCATAGTTCATTTTAGGAAACAAACTACCACTTCTTCCTACTGTGTCACCTTTTGGCTCCTATATTTGAAAACTAGGTTTGTATTTTATATAATAGAACTTGCTGAATCCATTCGTGAGGGTTGAATTTCTTAACTTTTGAGAAAACCGAGTTTAAATTCACAAAAATACGTATTTTGATGGAAGTTCAGGTTTCTTGTTCAGGCAAGTTGGATTTTGGGCCCGTCCTTTGAAAAATAGGCAAAGATTTTATTGAATCGACCTTGCTGAATCCATACGTGATGGTATATTTTTTTGAAGCATGCACAATTTTTTTTTTTTGAAAACTTGCTTTAAATTCTCAAAAGTACGTAATTTGGGTTTCTTGTTCAGGCAAGTTGAATTTCGACTTGTTCCTTTGAAAAAGGCGTGGATTTCATAGAATTGCTGAATTCATACGTATTTCCATAGACATTTGGTTCTCTTGTTCAGTCTGTAGTTCAACTCACTCACGAAGGTTGAATAATGGCGCGAAAATTGACTGTGTACACTACAAATCAACTTTATATTCAGCCTATTGTTAATCAGCTTTCTACACCTGAAATCAGCCAGTGATCAGCATCTGTTCTTACCGTTCAGCTTGCATTGTTACTTGAGTAAGGTTGAACTAAAATCGTCGAAAGATTTATTGTTAAGCAGTAAATTGTTATCTGGAGTGTAGCCACACATCCGACCACCCCAACGCAAAGAGTATAAGCAACAATCAATACGAAACTAACGATTTTAAATTGGCTCACTACTTGACTAGCCTATTGGTCCCAAGCAAATCGATTAACGTAACCCATTCTAGTATAAATTCCAGTATTACACTATGTTTGTTTTGATTCGCTATGAAAGTTTGACAGATAAAATGAGGGGATCGTGGATTTTCCAATGTTTCGAGGGGTGCATCGATTACCTTGGGACCGAAGAGAGTACCAGAGCTGAGCCAAAAAGTTGAGCACGTTTCTTCGGAACCTTCTGGTCTTAGAGTTACCTCTATGACGAAACTTCCGTCAACTTCCTAAGTCTAGAAATTATCGAAATTTGCTAAGAAGTTCCTGATCCAGGCGATTTGCGGATGTGGTGAAATAAGCGCTCCTTTCATCACTTCCGGAACAATCAACGGTGTGATTTACACGGAAGAGCGCCTTAAGAAGCGTCTCTTGCCGTTCATAAGGAAGCACAAAGGATCAACTCTGTTTTGCTCTGATCTAGCATCCTGCCACTACGCTTGAAACGTGTTGGAGTGGTATCAAGCCAGCGGAGTCAATTTTGTGCCAAAAGCCATCAAAAATGAAAAGTTTCGGCTTGTGACAGTACTGTATCAAACCGACGATTTTAGTTTTAAAAACTGAAATTCAGAGCGCCTTCCATTCATTTTGGCTAAAAAAATGTTTTATGAAATTATGGAACAATAAGATATTATGATAATATTTTGTATGTGTGCGTAACAAGAACAGATGGTAAAATTTGTGTTTGACACATAGAACCTGCCAATTTTGCTACATGAGAGTCGCAATAAGCGATTTTGTCATGGTCGCTTCAGCAGGGTGAAACTATTAGACGGTTAGACGGCTTCGGCTTGTTTCGTTTGGTACCAACTATGTGATGCATTTGGTGGCAAAGACACCTTGCGGTCCAAGCAAATTTATGGGAAATTTGAATGCTACTAATTTTCTTTATATTTCCTAGTTTTCTAATTATTTTCGCTAATTGTAGTATATGCCAAAATTGCTGGATAAATTCCACGTCGAATGGTATATTGCATGGCATATTTCACATTGATGCTAAGGAGAAATATGCGTTTGAAAACACGTCCTTTTTCGTTACATGCCTCATTTTTGATTTCTTGATATAGTATATAGCAAAGCAAGACATTGTCCTACGTCAAAAGTATATCAGCCAATAGGATAACAATTGTGACTTGACCTTCTCCGATTTACATGAAACTTTGCACGATTGGTGTTATGGGCAATTATTCACATTTTTGCAAAAAATCGACCATTTTGTATCATGCATATTTTTTTCAAAATGGCGTCTTTGAAATTTTTCAATAAATTTCAGCACGAAAACGTCACTTCTAAACGAAATGACGTTTAAGACATAGTTGTTAAGAAATACAATAGTCTTTCTATACATAAATTACATTGAGTAAGTTGAGTAATTTTGAATAAAAGTTTATAAAAATGTTGTGATATACTGAAATATCTAAAAAAAAATATCTTCATAATTTATAATTTATTTTGTAAATAAAGCTCATGACAAAAATCGTAGTACAACAACTTTTGATCTAAACTTGTTGTGAACAAACTACTTATGTTATTTTTGCACACATATTAACGCTTTTTTGGAATTTTTACTCAAAATTAAAAAAAAATACAATTTTTTTCTAGAATTTTGTCTCAAACGTCATTTTGATCAGAAGTCACGTTTGAACCATGTCATTCGTCTGCTGTGGGAAGTAGGATTGGGCGATCTTGGATCTGATCTTTTGGATCGATTCTTTGTCCACGAAAAGATCGAAAAAATCGATCTCTTCTTTCGATTTTTTTCGATCTTAAAATTTTTTTTTATGTGTATTTACATAGAAAAAAACGATTTACTCTGACCACAGACTGCGTTGTAAATTTAACGAACATAACGTCAACATTAGCATCGCTCCCTACAATGACGTCACTTTTTGCGTTTCCGATATTTACGAATACAGCAACATTTGAAGGTTTAGGCTACCTCCCTCCAGTGCTCATTGCTCCTTACTGTCACGACAACATTTAATTGAATATTATAAGGGATGAATTTCTTGGGTACCAACGTAAACAAGCGTATGCTGAAAAGCTGAAAAATCAAAAGACCGATCTACCAAAGAAAAATTGACACCGCCAGTATGCGCGACGGTCTTGGATGTACGCCACTTGATTCTGAACTGTGTAGCATCCCAGATAGTAACATAATACATTATCCTCAAGCCTTTATTAGCTTATGATCTAAGGCTCTAAACTTTCCCACAGTACAGAAATCCTAACATTGACACATCTGGCAAAGACTAGACATTCCCACATTCCAAATAAAATTTTCTCATACTCCAGACCATTGCCATTGCCTTGCAGCACAAGTGCAAAACACCACTTCAAACTAAAATTATTGCCAAAGCATTTTCCCGTGTAACACATAATGACGACCCACGTTTTCGTCACCTCAAGACAAAACCAAATCAA